GCGTGCGTGTGTGCGTGCGTGTGCGTGCGTGTGCGCGTGCGAATGAATGCATCTTTCTGAGACTGTTCATTAACGTTCCAGCGTTCCGGGCTCCTGGGCGCTGGTCGCTTGCAGGTGCGGAGACCTGAGAGATGGGAAAATGGCGCCGAATGTCAAGAGAAAGTCGAAAGTCATAGCAGAATGGAAGCCAGGGCGGGATTTAGGGAGACAGGAGGCCGGGGGAGGGAGGGAGTGACCGAAACTCAACACCATCTGCAAGCCGCGATTGTGCTCCTATGCCCGCTTCTTCTGAAAACCAAGACTTCTTTGATGGACAAGCGACAGGAGCAGCAGCAGATGGTGGATTTTCTCATCCAGCGCCGCATTCTCCTGCAACCAAACCGGTCACACCCGGCACCCCGGCTCCAGCCGCCCTAGAGAACCGCTACGCACCGTCAACAACCGCTACTTTCACCTCAAACCCAGAGCCCCCAGTCGGCACCTCCCGCGTCATCAGGTCCCGGTCTCTCTGGGGACCCTCAAAGAGGCTGGCGTACCTAAGGAAGATCTCAGTTTATACAGGCCCCCTAAACTAAACTCAAATTAAAACCTGCGAAGCCCGGTGCTTTTTCTGCTGCCGGGAGGCGAGGCGATCTCAGGATCCAGGAGGGAGGCCTCGGCGAACAGCGCAGCAAAAACCGCCGAACGAAGAGGAGCGAACAAAAAAAACCCGGAAAGAACCCTAAACAACCCTTAACCCTATAAACCCTATAAACCCTAAGCCCTAATTAAAACCCTAAACCCTAAACCAAGACGTGGACCTGCTCCACGCCCCGCAGCGCCAGCGCTGCGAAGGCCTCTGGGTCGACGCGCTTCGCCTCCTGCCATCCGAGACGCATTGACGCATGTAGGGTTCAGGGCTTAGGGCTTGTAGGGTTTAGGGTGTAAGGTTTTTTTTTCAGCACCTTTTTCCGACTCGCCAATCCAGCTAAACGAAAGTCACAGTGTGACAGGCACCACCACTACTCCATTGCGCCATGTTGACACCATCCACATCCGGTAGCCTCCTTCTGCATCCATACCGACCCCAGCATTTGGACTGCCTGTTCACTTCCCGCGCTTCTGGAAGGGGTTCTCACCCAAGTTATCCACATCCCATTGTACGAGAGGCGAGAGACCGAGTCGAGCTGAGTCAGGGTTTAGGGCTTAGGGCTTAGGGTTTAGGGTTTAGGGTTTAGGGGTTTAGGGGTTTAGGGTTTCGGGTTTAGGGTGTAGGGTTTAGGGTGTCAGGGTGTTCGGGTGTTCGGGTGTTAGGGTTTAGGGTTTAGATGCTTTCCACAGATGAAGAGTAGTTAGCAGTTCTTGCGCGCTGGGCTGCTTGAGGAAGTCGTGAGGGGGCCCTTGGCAGAGCTTGCTCTAACGTGCTATGCTGGTATGACCGCAAGCAAGAGCATGCTCTTGGAGGCGACCCGGAGACGACACTCTGTGGTCGAAGGAGACCCCTGCTATCCCTCTGAGGCCTGAGGCGTGAACAGCACGGAAGGTGCTGCAGTTCTCTTTGGCCCCAGTGAGGAGATGCCTGGATCGCCGGGTCTTGCAAAGGACCCTGGTCCTCCGCCCTGCGCCCTCGTCTCCCGAGGCCGAGGCCATGCTGATGCCGGAATGCTGCAACTTGCTTTGCAAGGAGCGTCGTCATCGATGCAACAGAACCATGGCTGAACTTGCCATCTCTCCTACTTCCACGTCTGGCTCTCCTTGCGTGGATGGCATGGTGTGGGTTGGGCTTGTGTTATTTGGGTGCGGGGGCCGTGGGGGCTCCTGACTAAGAGTCTTCGAAAAAATTCAAGCGCGGGCTTGGCTTCGGCGAGCTGGCGTTGAGCATCCGCCGCACTCGAGTCCAACTAGCAGCTAGCATGCTCACGAGCTCAAGTGCGGCCCTCCCCAGCACCCCCTTTTTTCCTGTGCATCTGAGCCTCGCAGGCTCGCCGGCATTAGCAAAGCGGAGCTCCGGAAAGCCCTGGCCCCAAAAAGCGCAAAGCGGATCCTGCTTTGACGCCCTTGACACGTGTGGATCCGCCCTGGCGCTTCGACGACCGAGGCTGGCCAAGCCGGTGGCAACATGTCGCCACCAGAAAAAGGAATCTTAGGGTTATAACGTACTAAGTACTTAAAGTACTACGTTGCTAGATCCTGCCCATCGCCATCGGCTCTGTCTCCCGAAGGGCCGCTTCACAGCTCTCCGCTTGGAGTGACGTTAACTGCTCGCACTTCAAATCGGCACTCCGTGCCTCAACCGACAGCGAAGGGTGGCACAGCAACCGACAGCATAAATGCTCCATAGGCTTTGTACACATGTGCACTTATATACATACCTACATAGGTACATCATGTATGCATCTGATGCCTCCGTAGAACAGCACTCGCTGTCGGCGCATACCTCTACTGCACCGCCACACGAGCACCTTGGCATCGTAATCACGTACTCAATCACAGACTCTCGAAAGGAAGTCCTTCAGAACATGCTCGCGTGCAGTGGCCTTTGTACCCCCTGGGCCCTTCCCGTGCCCTGGTCCTCGGCTGGTCGGCCAAGCTGCCTGGAGAGGAGGCGCAGCCCTCGACTGCTTTCAAGGCCCGGCCTTGGAGCCAAGCCGCCTTTCCGCCCGTGCCTGGCACCGCGTGCGCGGAGAGAGACAGAGAGACCGAGAAAGAGAGAGGGTGGAGAGAGAGAGAGAGAGAGAGAGAGAGAGAGAGAGGGAGAGAGAGGGAGAGGGAGACCCAGAGACGCCGCTTGGAGGGGTTTCGGCATCCACTCTCAAAGTTTGAACAGGGACTTGACGGGGGTCCGCAGATGAAGCAGCGGTTTCCTACTTACGATCAGCAGAAACCCCGGGCCCAACCCGGTGGGTGGCGGGGGGGGCCTTCTGTGCTCGAGCGACGCAGCTTTCCAACTCGGAGCACCGGTCCTCTCCGTCCAAAAAACCCCAAAAGATCACGGGGGGGTTCATTGGTATAGTGATTCGATCACGGGAGCCGTGGTCTGATTCGATCATGGCATTCTTCGCTCAGGAGCTTTCGTGGCTGTGTAGTTGAAGGGCTCAGTAACATAGTTAAATACTCTAAAGCTTGGGGCTTACGGTCCGGGCAACGGTGCACGGGTACCGATGGCTCCTCGATCGAGGCCGCACGCGTGCTCGGCGGGCTCAGACCTGCGACGCAAAGTCGAAACCAAATCTGCTATCAGACCACCTGAGGCTTTCACTCCAAGTTAAAGCCAAACAAGGGGCATTTTCGGCTCACCTCGCGTGCCCTTTCAGAACTCCGAACTGGAGAGCCTCTTGGAGTCCGCAGGTTCGGAGAGGGCGAGTGGCTTCCCGCCCGGGTCCTCGCTCCGCTGGTCCTCGGCCTGCGAGACGGAGCGGGAGTTTGTGTGGGCCGTGCCCTCCGCCCTCCTCTTTGGCGGCGGCCATCCGCCTCCTGTTCGGGCCCGGCGTCCGGGGTCGGCTGGCCACCTGAAGCCGGACAAACCGCCACCACGCCACTTCGAGCAAAGCAGGTGGTCTTTCAGGGCCTGCGCCACGGCAGCTGCCGCTTCGGCATCGTTGCCGGCCCTGCAGGCTGTTTAGTCTTCCGGCGTGAGGCCTTTGGATTCTTGGTGGGCAGCAAAGGAGGCTACGAAGAAGCAAAAGAGAGCGCGAGCCATCCTGAACCCCCCAGAAAATTCCCGAACTCGACAACACCATGTCCAAAACAAAGCCCAAAAACCCACCACACAACACACACACCCCGAAACCTGAAATCCAAAGCAGCTCCCGAAGTTCACACCGCAGAACCTAGCCGCTTCGGCCAGGATCTCCGCCACTTGGGTCGGCTCCTGTGGAGGGGTTGAAGATGGAACCTTGTGAGGTTCAAGGCTTAAGATGTGTGTGCGTGTGTGTGTGTATGTATATATATATATATAGATATAGATATGTCTTCAATATTGAATAACCGAGGATCTTCCTAATCGTGAGCCAGCGGAAAGAGGGATATGCGTGTTCCCTTTGTATATTATACATGAGTAATCAATCGCTTGTTACTAATGGTGCTACTGTTTCCTTCGTTGAGCAAAGTGTCAAACAATGGTGTTATTGACCTTTCTAAAGCATGATGATGAACAGAAGTGTTTCAAGCTTTGCCATGAGGATATGAAGACGGAACAAGGGCTACTTCTTGTTGTGCAGAGCTTTATTTTATTTCATTTTATTGATTACTGGCAGTACAGTGCAACGTGGCCCCAATATGGTCGGAACCCGGAGCTCCCTTGCATCATATTCAGAGAACAGCGCATGTGCTGAAGGTATGATTTAGGGCTTAGGGTTTAGGGCTTAGGGTTTAGGGGTTTAGGGCTTCAGGTTTTTGATTGAACACCTTTTTCCGTCTTAAGGTTTAGGGTTTGGGGGTTTAGGGTTTAGGCATAGAGAGACATGGAGATTGCTTCGACATGTGGTCTGAGGAGCCCAAGTCTTACAAGGACAGGAAGAAACTGTTTAGTCATTGACCGGGCGCTGACAAGTGATATGCTTCTCTGTGATCTGTTTGTCCTCATTGAAAGGCCAACACTGATTATGCAGAAGCGGAGGAGTCTTCTTTAGCATACATCTATATGTATGTATGTATGTATGTATGTATGTATGTATGTATGTAACTGTATGTATGTAACTG